ATATACTGTACACTCTGTGTACGCAAGTATCTAATATATTGTGTCACACAAGCCCAACCTTCGTTGCCTCCAATGTACCATGTATCCGCATATAGGGACGTTAATCTGTAGTAGGTTTTTTTTTCCTTCTTTTTTCTTTGTTCTAAAATTTAGTATTGCTTGTTTTTTCTTGTTGGAATAACTTCCGCATAGTGTACAGTTGGTTAGCGTTCCTTTTGGGAATAGTGCAGCAGTGAAACGAATGTGCATTTCCACTCGGTTATATTGGTGCTTTGTGTGTGCGCGTTGTGTGTGCGCTTGTGTGAGCTTGAGAGCGCACTTACCTTCCAAAGGGAATAACCCAGTAGGGCGACGGTGACGGCGGACAGGAAGAAGAGTACGGGAGTAGTGGCGGTAAGGACGGCGTCGGTGAGGTCGGGGACAGCATAGTCAACTTTACCGGGACTTTGGTTGTTATTCGATGAACTCAATGTTCCATCTGCTGGAATCGGTGGTACAAATCCATTCGCAACATCATCTAATCCTGGTACATAGCCTGGTGATATATGAGGATCACAGTTTGCGCCGTTGCATTTATTTTAGGTCCTATTCCATTGAGTGGGCGATAAATCCAAGGGATATTTAGAGATATGTATGTCAAACATATCACTGTCACCTGTCCAAGAGGGAGGATCAACAGTCTTTTCCGTTTCACCGAAGACGGAATAGGGACCAGTAGCAGAGGATTTGGTCAAATCCTGGCATTCCGCACCACTACTGTCGAGGAAGCAAAAGCCGGTTGAATGTGGATCATAGTCCCTTGGATGATTTGATGCGGGTGAATCAGGGGAGGGGGGCTCAGGGTTCTGTGGATTCATCCTGTCCAGTATGGTAGTATCACTGGATGTTCTTGTGGATGGTTCCAGTGATTTTGCTGCTGGTGCCTGGTTTGAATCTACATTATCGTCCTTAGCCACAGTACCTATGAGTTAAAATGAAGAAAAGGAAGATGGTGGAAGTATGATGAAACTGCAGTTATGTTTCGCATGGATGGTTGTGTTCGACAACACGGTTCCACCGATCGTTGACCACGGTCGGCTACACGGTTGCCCATGGCTCAGTGTCGTTGTACGGTGCATGGTTGTTTTGATCCGTCGCTGATGGGTGGCCACGGTGCGAACGGTGGTTGGCAGGTGCCACTCCGGGAAAAGACTCTCTCTGGCACCCACACAACACACACAGACAGTGTGTGTGTGTCTGCGTCTACATAGCGCGGCCGACCGATCGCTCTTCCGCTCATTCTCATTCGACGTTTGGTTTCTCTCTCTCCGTGGTGTCTCTCCCGCTCTCTTCGGAAATTGTGTATTTGTGGTGTTTTCTGTCCTCTTGTATGTGTATTGAACGGTTCTTTTGTATGTGTGCTCTCGAAATGCGTTACCGTGGGCAATAGCATCTGTGAGTGTTTGTCCTCCTCCTAAATCTTCATCGGGCGTGCAGGTTGGAGTTATAACAACACTGCCGGTGGTGAGTTGATTCTTATCCAGAGTCGCCTTACACGTTTCCTCACCTGATTGTTCGTGTGGGCCCGTGGATGTTGCATCACGTGTATCATCTGTGTTGCCTGGTGCCCCTGGCGCTGGTGGAGCAGGTGGCTCCTCCGGAGGAGGTGGTGATGGTCCCTCTGCTGGTCCTGCAGGTGCTGCTGGTAATACTGGGGATGCCGGTGCTTGTGGTGGCGATCCGGGTCGTGTGGTCGTTGTGGACCCTCCTCCGGTATCCGCAAGTTCGGGTCCTGCACTTGAGTTACCTAAGATGGGGCACGGAAGAAACATGGTAAAAAGATGATAAAAAAAAAAAACGACACAAGTGGTACAGAAAGAAGGGGCGGGACGGTGTTGGAGAGACGGGACGGCGTTAGAAGACGAAAAAGGAAGAAAGAATGGAAGGGCGAGTGGTGGGTGGGGCGGCATTTTAGCAGGGCTGCACTCGGTGTACTGGGCTACATGGTAGCAGTACAACTTTTATGTTGTCGCCGTCTGCCATCGCCGCCGCCATCGCTGCCGTCGTGCTGTGTGTTATCGCACCACTGTGACGCCACCTCGTCTACACACGTCGGCTCGAGCGAACGGTACGCTCCTCCACACTGGTCTACACTTCGTCACCACTACCGCTCCCGTCGTGGACACCGCTCATCGCCGCTGCACGGTGCGCTCGTCTACACAGTGGCCAACGCTGCCACCGGTACGCTCGTCGCGCCCGTCATGGCCGATCAACGTCAGCGAAGGGGAAGCGCTGTGCTGTTCCGTCGTGTGTGCGTGTGTTGTTCCCCGCGCGTGTGCGTTCTGGTGCTGCTATTCCCCCGCGTGCGTTGTTGTGGCCGCGTGCATGTTGTGGCCGTTGCGTTGCCGTCGTCGCCGCCGCGTGCGTGTGTTGTTGCCGTGTGCGTGTTGTGGCCGTCCATCCGTACGAACTTGTTCTAGCCGTATTGGTCGTATTCATGCCGGGGGTACTATTTGTATTCGTACTAGGCGTATTCTGTGCTACCCGTATTATTACCTTTCTGTTTTTCAATTTCCTGTTCTACTGCGACCTTGGCCTTCTCAATTACCCTTGTTGCTTCCTCCACTATCTTCTTCTCCGTGTCCTTTATTGCAGTGATTTTCGTTTCGTCCACCCGTGTCGGCTCACCCTCCTTCATCTTCCCTTTTGTATACTCCTTCCACTTTTTATTACAGTTCGCGCCCCGTTCTATATTCTCGATTCCGTGCAATATTTTCGCGTCGTACAATAACCAATCTGCTATGTCCCAATTTACCACTCCCGGTAGCCTCTCATGGCCGTGATAGCCACATGCTGTACACCTGCCGTCGATAACAGGACCCGCTACCACTCCAGCTCCATTTTTTCCTGTGCTTTGCATTTTCTTCAATGCTATCCGAGAATACTCTACACCTCTTTTCCACTGTTCTTGGTGGGGACAATATTTTTCTTTCAGTAAGTGTCCAAATATATTTGCCACTTCACATCTGAGCCTGTTCTCTTCTTCTGGGTCCATGCGCACCCTGTCCTGTGTATGCTGTGTACTCTTGTGCCACCCATTTGCAAAGGCCCATGCAACGCTCATAACTCTGCACCGTACGACATCTGCTACTGTTTGGCCCATGTAAAAATGCCCATCTGAGGAGATATCCTCCCAACCTACATTATAACAATTGGCACCAAACGCATCTGCGTGCTCTTTATATTTCTCCATATATTCCGTAAATTCCTGCAACACCTTATTCAATTTTTCCAGATGTTCTTTCTGTATTATGCGCATGAAAATAGAGGGATAGTTATGTTCACTTGTCATCTACATTGTCCCTTCCGGAGGCATTCATTCTCTTATATATGCATATGCCTTATTAACAAGTTCTTGCGTTGTCTATACCACTATATTCATCCTTGCTGCCCTTGCCTGTGCACTTTCCACTCGAACTTACATTATGTGGATGCACCACGTACACTGTCTTATGTCCCCACTGGGATAATCTCTCCCCTTGACATTCCCCTGCTGGGGCAGTCTGCACTCCTTCCTTCGGTCCGGCACGACCACCACCCTTACCACCATCACCACCAGGTGATGATGTCGTACCTCCTTGTCCGGTAGTCGTTGCCACCGGTTTCGCCGCTACTGGTGTGGCAGGGGCAGGTTTACCCATGGCGGCTTCCTGTTTCTTTTTCTTTAACATTTCTTCTATATTTCCCTCCTCCTCTGATTTCTTCACGGCTTCCTTTATGTCCTCTACGTATTCTTTTATCCCGTCCCTAACTTTCCCCATTGCTTTCTATATTTCCTCTTCCGACACTTTTATTACATAGGGGACACTTTCTGCCCCCTTGTGCCTTACTTTTACTTCACAATCTTCGCCTAACACTCCTTGCTTTCCATCATGCAACCTGGTCCTATTCCTATCCAGCCATCTCTCCATTATTCGCCATAAATCCCATTTTCCCGGGTCTCCCCTTATCCCACTGTTATGCTGCATATCCTGCTCTTCACATGTCATATTAGGCTGCTTCTTATCTCCTTCTTTCACTAGTGCTTCTGCTGCCCGAAATGCCAGGTTCCCTCCTTCCGTGTTTAAACATGTGTGACCTATTATTCTCTTCAAAAATATATTTACTAGGACACACTTCATATAGGACCCTACCTCGTCCTGCCCTTGTTCCCGATGTCCTGGGTCGGTGGCCCCTGTGCCTGTAAGGTCCCACTTCCCAGAGATTGCATGCTTGAAGTATAGCGCTCTAAGCACTAACTCGCATGTAGCTTTATCCTTTGGGTCTAATTCTTCCTCGCCCTCATTCCCCTCTTTATCGGATTTTGTAGCACATAATAGCTCTATGGCAAAATCATGGCCCGAAGTTTCCATATGTTCCTTAAACTGTGCCCATACTTCTCCTATAGTGTTCCAAAAGCGTTCCTGCAGGTAAAGCATGCATTATATGATCCTGTATATACTATATTCAACCGTTCTAGTCCTCTACCATAAAATTCTGCACACAGGTAGACGTCCCCCCTTCATATATATTTTTCCTTGTGCTTGGGAAAAAATATAGGAGCGGACAATATGCATGCTTGTACCCCTGCGTTCTCTTCGTTGTAATTAGAGGTATCCAATTTTGTTCTAATACCCTGGTGCAATAGTATTGAACCGTTCCCCCATCTCTCTGTACACATGGACGTACCTCAAATATCTTTTCATCCGTGTGTACCCCCAAATCCTGCTTCATAATGTACCAGTCCCATAAGATGGCCAAGTAGTCCGCCATGATTTGCCTATTGTTCTGTATTTAATATGTTCCTTCTTCGGATCCCCACCTGAACTCTCCACTAAATGCATATTACCCCCCAAGACTACAACTGACTTCCATAAATATGTAACTTCCTGCATACTCAGAATATTCCACGGTCTTGACTTTATCCCTTAATAGCAATACTCCTAATATAAATGCTTAACCACAGCACCGCCTTAACAACAAATATCCCGCTTAACAACAAATACCCGCCTTAACAACAAATACCCCCTTCCTACACTGTCTCTGTGCGTACACCTAAAACCGCAGTAACAACAACATCAATGCTTCTTCCGTCGTTGCCCCCCCTCGTACAAGCGATTGTCTCCGAGCAAACGTGGCCGAGTGTAAGAAGGAGGAGATTGTCTCTGCGAGCAAACGCGGCCGAGTAAGACGGATTCGACGAAGTAGCCGAGTGTAAGAAGGAGGAGATTGTCTCTCCGAGCAAACGTGGCCGAGTGTAAGACGGATTCGACGAAGTAGCCGCGTGAAGGATCCAGAGAGGGGTATCAGAGAGCGGGGCAACAGCGAGACGTGTGGCGGAGGAAGGAACACACATATTATATCGGAGGAAGGAGGGGGAATTGAGATTCACTTGGATTAGTGTAGAAGAGGTATTTGTTCTTAAGGGGGGTATTTGTTGTTAAGGGGGTATTTGTTGTTAAGGAGGGTATTGTGGTTAAGGGGGGTATTGTGGTTAAGGATTTTAGTGAAAAACAGGAGTAATATTTTAAGTATGTACAAGTTAAGGATTTGTAGTGGGATGTGTGGTTGTTTGGGTAGTATTCGCTTAATGTGAGTTTAAGTATGAATCCGAGGGAGTAACATATTATATAGTGAACATAAGGAGCTAATGGCGAAGTATTTAGGAATATTATGGAAAGAATATATTGGACATGGAATTACCGGGGTGAAGGAGGATAAGAACTTTAAAGTAAGTGCGCATATATGATGCATTATGGGAAACGAGTGAATAGTAATGTATAAGTATAGTCGGTCAGACTAAGGGAGTACACCAAAAGGGTGTATGTGCTCATATTTTCGTTTTCTATAATTATTCTACTGGAGGGAGGGACATATATATAGAAGGAGAGAGTGTAGTTATATGTACAATTATTTATAGGACGGGAAAATGGGCAACGTAGTATAGTTTATATATGGATATATAATACATGGAATACGTACAGAAACTCTTCTGGACCAATGTGACAGGCATGTGGCAGAAGTTTAAAGAGCATATGGAGGATGCCCGCGATGATGCAATGATAGAGTTAATGTGTAACACGGACCACACTAAAGATGCAGGAGGGGAGTCAGAGGACACATTCAGTGACAAAGATAAAGCTGTGTGCTGGTTAGCACTTAAAGCTTTATTTTTTAAACATGCAATTAAATTACATGTAACCACTATTGCCACCGAGCACCTGGGCAATACAGCGGCAGCAGATGGCGTCATGCCATATATGAAATGTATTTTAGTGAATATATTTATGAAGAAAATAGTCGGGGAGAAATGTTTAGACACTACTGGTGCCAGGCAGGCATTTCTCGCAGCGCAAGGATTGGTGCGGGAGGGCAAAAAAGCAGAGCCCAATATGGCATGCGAGAAGGCGGATAGGAAGGACGGGAGAAGGCAGAAGTCACAAAAAACGGAAGATTGGAATTTAGGAGAAATAATGACTCGATGGCTTCAGAGGAATATAGGGTATTTGAGGGATGGCGAGGTAGGCGTATTAGGGCAGGAATGTACGGTACAAAGAGACAAGACTGCAGAACACATAAAGCAAGAAGCGAATAAAAAAATTGAGGACCTGGGTAAAGAAATAGAGAACACAGTGAAGGAAATATTGAAGGAAATAGATAAATCCCCAGAGGGAACAAGTATGGACGATATATTGAAGCAGCTGAAGGACTCCACGTCGCCGGCTCCAACAGATAAAGATCACGTAGCACGGCCACCACCGCCTCCACCACCAAGCGGACCATCCATGCCATCATCACCAGACGGTCGGGGCAGAGAGGGAGCGGGGGAATCGGGAACTGCGCAAACCGTTAGCAAACCCGCCCCTGCAAACACACAACCGGTAAAGCCCGTCCACAGCACCTCTGCCAAACCAGTAGCGGCGACACCGCCGGACCAGGGAACGAAGAATACGGTAACGACGACGGCAACATCTGGTGGTGGTGGTAAGCCTGGTGATGCTACTCCCGGAGGAGGCAAGGAGAAGGCACCGAAGGCGAAGACCGGAACAGAGGATAATTGTGAATGGAGGAGCGTAATGGATAAAGGGCATAGCGGACTTCACGTGATGGGTAGATATAGTGTAAGTTACAATGGGAAGGAATATAGAACGAGAGAGGGAGAGGATAATTTATTAAAGGGGATTTATTAATGAGACATATGCACCTATAGAGGTATGAATGCCTTCCTTGGGAAGAATGTAAGTGACACATCAACATGCGCGTTTCTTCATTTTCCGGCCCAAAATGTAGAACGAAGAATGGACAAGAGTAAAGAATGTACTGGATGATTTTGCTACACATATGCAGAATTACGAGAAGTACATGGAACAATTAGGTGCAAATTGTAATAATGCATATTGGGAGGATTTCACAAAAGGGATATACGAGGATGGACAGAGAGTAGCCGACATGGTTAGATGTAGATTAATGTCGGGAGCATTGTGGTTTGCGAATACACAGGGAATTGATGGGAAAGGTCGGGGCAACGACGCAGAGAGGGAATCGTACGAAAGACTAAGGTGCGAGGTAGCAAACGTTTTTGGACACCTGTTGAGAACAACATACTGTCCCAAACAGAACACGTGGAAAAGAGGTATAGAGTATGCATATACAGCAATGAGAAATATGGGCAAAAATCAGGATGGAACACCAGTGGCGACCGAATTGGCTGGTCCTGTTGTGGAAAGAACGTGCAACATATGTGGGTATGAAGGTAGTAGAACGAAACCAGGAATAATAAATGGAGACATCGCACAGTTGTTAGTACAGCAAGGAATAATGGGAGAACTAACACAGATAGAGCGACAGATGCCGTGTGCGAAGGATTGGAAACAGTATATCAGGGACAGTGCAACGAAAGGGGACAGTATCAAGGACATTTTGACCGAACGGGGGATTCAGGAGGTAGAGAAAGTAAAGGAGGATATAAAGAGGAAAACAAAGCAGGTGATTGAGACAGCACAGGACAAGGTACAGCAGGAAATTGCAAAAGGTAAGTGTTCGACACGTAATAATACCAATCATACGAATATACGGTCGCTACTGATATCAACGAATATGGATGCCGCCACAACAACACAGCGATCACAAACACGCACGCGCGGTGGAACAACACACGCACACGGTGGCGAACAACAACGCCGGGACGGCGGAACAGCAACCACTGCGTTGAGTCGAGCGAGCATCGTTCACGACGGCAGCGGTAGCGGTTGCGGCGCGGACGGAGATGAGTGGCCACGGCAGCGGTCGCGGACGGCAACAAATAAAAGTGTACTACTACCATCCCATCCCGACCCTACCCGGCCGGCATCTGACCCAACCGTCCCGCCCCTTCTTTCTGTACCACTTGTGTCCTATTTTTTTTATCATCTTTCTAACATCTTTGTTCCTTATTGCAGCGGCCGCGAAACCGATTGCGACGAAAACGGAAGCACTCAAACCACAAGCCGCCAAACCGGCAGCGGTAAAACCGCCACCGAAATCACAACCACCGGAGAAGACGGAAGAGCCCCCAGCGGCACCGGCAGCACCGGCAGGATCACCAGGTCGATCAGATCAAGCAGCTGAGGACACGAGGGTACCAGCAGCAGGACCCGTACCACAACCCCCACCTGCGGCACCACCGGGCACAGGGGCAGACGGATCAGGTACACCAGGTCAGGGACCTGGACAACAACCCCCACCTGCACCAGAACCGGCACGTCCGGCAGCACCCGCTGGAGAAACCGTAGACGGAAAGGAAGAAACAAAGGACAAAACTGCAGAAGGTAAGGATCTAAAGATTGGTAGCGCCCTCGACAACGACACCAAGAACCCACCGGGGACTGGAGCCGTGTGCCCGCACGAATCGGACAATATTGATGCACTTACTTCTTGTCTGGATAAAATGGAACAGCCGAAAATCCACAGCGTGGATGACAACGACGAAACCGACCAGTATAGAGGGAAGGGCCCCGTGGGTATCCCTGGGAGTACACGTGTGATAGACATATCTAAAGGGACTTCTCCTGATATTTCAGGAGCACCCCCAGGTGCGCACTATACGACGTCAGTGAGGGAGAATCATACCAAAGGTTCCATTACTCTTACCCTTAGTTCATGGATAGGGAAAGAGACACGAAAAAAAAAAGAAACAACAACAATTTCCGGACAGAGAGGGAGAGACACCACGGAGAGAGAGAAACCAAACGTCGAATGAGAATGAGCGGAAGAGCGATCGGTCGGCCGCGCTATGTAGACGCAGACACACACACACTGTCTGTGTGTGTTGTGTGGGTGCCAGAGAGAGACTTTTCCCGCGGTGGCACCTGCCAACCACCGTTCGCACCGTGGCCAACCATGAGCGATGGACCATGGTGCCGACCGTATACACGACCGAGCATGGCGAAACCATCAGCGCCGGTATATGTGGTCAAGCAACAACGACGGACCGTGGCTAACCGTCAACCGTGGCCAGCTACCGCACAAAACTTCAGTTTCATCATGTTGACTTTTCTGCATGTCCATTCAGGCAAGGAGAAATCGGACGGCTCATCAACGCCGACAGAGCTGGATCCCAAGTCCTCCGTAGCAGCAGAGCCTGCCGCAGAAGTACCAACAAAACCAGAAGTGTCAAAAGTAACACCAGGATCAGAAGGAGCAACAGGGGTCACATCAACAGAAGTGAGTGCGCAACCGCAAGGAAAGGCAGCACCGGAGGGCGGAGAAGGAACACCTGCAGCATCAGCCCCAAAGACGGGGTCGTCCGACGACACTATAACTCCGCCCAAAGATTCCACCAGTAATGACAAAACTCAGGGTTCCGAACATCCCGCGTCTGCTGCTGGTCCAGATCCAGGTGTTGCCGTCATCGATGGCGGCAACGATGACCCACCTCCTCTCAATCCACCCAAACCAAAACCGAACCCAAACCCCGATCAAGCGGGGAGCAGTGGTGGCGAAGGAAAAGGAGGTGGTGATGTAGGTGGCACTCAACTTGTCACCCCTTCCGTTCGGCCTGGTGTTACATGGGAAGATATCAAGCCCTACACCCCCGAAATAATTCCAGCGGTGGTTGGTATTGGGATCATTGCCTTTTTCCTCTGGAAGGTAAGTATATACGGCAATCAAGGAATGCCGCATGTGCATCCGTAATATGTACCATAGCAATGTGTTCCGCAGGGGCTCCTTCATGATCATTATAACACAAATACATTTACCTCATCCGGCTTTTTTCTTTTTTTCTTTTGTAGTATTTTGCCTACCTCGCCAAACGACGACGAAAGTTTCGAACTGTTCGTGACGTGCCGTCACCGCCACTAGACGAAGAAATACTAGACCATTTACAACGCGGCGCACCACCACCCGATTACGGCTACACGATAGTTAGGGATAGGCGGCCCGGCACACTTCCCGACCGACGACGACGTCAACCACGCGTAAATCGCCGCACCATCATCGAGCTACACTTAGAAGTGCTCAACGAATGTGAAGCAGCCGAGTGGGAAAACGTCAAAGACAACTATTGGCAGATACTTGTGCAAGAGTTTATGGGGGACGGCAATGGGCATAGTGGTTCCCCGGATACTGCTATCCCAAACGAGGGTTTACCAGGAAACAATGTTCCATCCACTGAGTCCGACGGCATAGATCGATGTCCACCTAATGCAAAGGACCCAGATCGTTGGAGTTGTATGGACACCATACAGTTAGACGAGGAACAGCATTCCTATCCCTGTCCCTATTCCCCGGGGAATGAAATTCCAGCATTAGACCGCACTAAGTGGATCCCTTGGATTGAGCATAATAAGTACCTTTTACGACAGTGTACGGGAGAAACGTGGTTTTTGCAATTAAAAGCGGAATGGAAACAATATCAGCATCAATATGCGGCAAACGAAGACAACGGGCAGCGTGCACTCGGTGCGCCCGGTAATATCCCATACACGGAAAGGAAGAAATTGGACCTGTGGAAAGAATGGGTAGCGCAACAACATCGGCAAATGAGTGTACATAGAGAGGAGGTAGGCTCCAATACCTATTGGAGAATATCGAGGAGACAGCTATAGTATCAGCGGAAGGGGAACTATCCATAGTTGGGGAAACACGGGGCGCAAGGACCATATCCGAAGCGAACAACGAAGCAACCCACTTAGAAGGAGACCACGTCAGGACGGAACTGGCCCCCGCAAATATTCCACGTACCACGGTAAAGGACCCACAACAGCAGCAGGACCTACATCCGGCATTACGCAACACGGAGCAATTGACCCACAACCTGTGGATGCTCCTTCTCGCGACCGTAAATCCAAGAATGCGAGCTTGAGAGTAGTATGCATGATATGGAGTTGTATGTGGATAATTTTTTACACAACCTTTGAACAGCAAAGACAGGTATATAAATGAATAGAAAAGAAATATGACCACAATAATTCATTCTCCTTTATTAAACGGTATACAATAATGTGTTACTACGTGCACACTACTTTTTTTTCCTCTTTCCTTTTTTTTTTTTTTTCCAAAGTTCATTATTTTATATAACAATGTTGTGTACTTTTTTCTTTCCTTTGTTTTTCTCTTTTTTTCTGTGGGTTCAGCGGTCCACGAAAATTATGTTAATTCATATAATTATACCTTTTTCTTTTTTAAAAAAATTCAAAAAAAAATCACAGAATATTCATACGTTCCACTTACATTTCATGGTTATGTGTAATATGTGCACATGAAAATCTCTTTACATCACTTCATAAAACAAAGAATCAGCAAATTTTCATTTACAACCATTAAGGCACATAACATGTGTCATTAAAAATTTGTATACAAAGAGTGTATATATATGTATGTAGTACTCGCGTAATATGTATATGCTCCTGTAATTATAAGTGGTTCATTATATAAAAAAAAAAAAACACACAAAGCCTTATTTTTAACCACCTTAACCCTAACTCAGTTACCATGTGCAAAATTACCATTATAACTGAACTGTTTTTCCTTATTACAGTTATTAAATGTATTAATTAATGAAAACGCATTTGTCATTTTTTCGCAGTCCAAATAAATTTTTAAAACATTTGTTTTGTTATTTATTTTGCTATACTATGGTGGGGCGTGCCCAGAATTTTTTTTAAAATTCCGATATTTATATTAAATTATTTTTTAATTCTGTATTTACGGCAATTTTTCCTTTAGTACACAAAATAATTGTGACAAATTACTTTTATCCAACTTTCTTTTTCTTTTTTTTTTTTTTTTTTTTTTCCTTTCCCTTGGGATAAAACTTTGTACACAAATTTCTGTATAAAGAAATATTTGTAGCGGCTATGTGTTCCTTATTATTTCATATTTTCCGGTTTTTATTATTATTTTATATTATTATTATTATTATGTAAACAATACAATATCCTTTTTCTTAATTCTTTTCGTCTTCCCTTTTTATTATTTTACACAGTGAAGAAATACGGAATGATAAATTTATGCACTAATGATATATGAGTGCCCGTATAATTAATTCATTATGTTAATACTTGAAGTGGAAGGAAAAAATATTTTTTTCTTCTTATCATTTTTCATATAAAAAAAAAAAAAAAGGGTAAAAAAGGGGTTCTCTTCTTGCTCTCAATAATGCAAAACAGGGTGTAAATCACACATACGAAGGAATTATAATTATATAATCTAATAGAAGAGTACTCTTCCATTTTTCTTTTTTTTTTCTTCTTAAATTCGGAACAATTACTATATTACAGCCAACGTTATATTATGTAACAAGAAAAGTAAAGCTGCAACTATGGCTTCATATTTGTCCATAATCTTCCTTATTTTTTCCTTTGCCTTTCTTCTAATCCATGCTGCAGAAGTAAGCTATAAATCATTAATATATAAAAAAAAAAAATGCTATAAACACTTATATATCCTCATAAGTTACACTAGTAAATTGTGATTAAAGCTGCAGTTTACGTGAGAATAATATGAAACGAAATTTTTTTTTTTTTTTTTCATTTCCTCTTTTGCAGCAGCAAGTAACATTGGAAAATCCTGCGAATGGTGCGGTAAACGTGGCGGATCCTCCACAGGACAATGTACAAGTAGAAGGAACTGTGCAAACTCCTGAGGCAGGAGTAGAAGTTCCATTGCCAGGTAAAAAACCGAGGGAGGAAAATAAAGATAACAGTACGGAAAGAATGGCCTACCGGAAAAAAGAGTAGGAGGAACCGGTTCTCCAAGTACTTAAGGACATTGATAAAGGTGTCCCCACGTTTCATCATAATGATGTTACCATTCCCCTGGTTTTCATCATCCGGGGGAATTGTACTTAGAGACACAAATACACTCCTACTAATTACTCCCCATTAACTATTTCAATTGCCGCTGCAGCACCAGCAGCACCAGCAGCACCAACAGCACCTGCGCCCGCAGCACCCCAACAGCCACAAGTGCAAGTGCAGTTACAGCCGCAAGTGCCACAAGTACCACAACCACCACAAGTGCAAGTGCAGTTACAGCCGCAAGTGCCACAAGTACC